TCAGCCAACAAACAATGACACCAAATCAGCTGAGCACCATACAGGGAAACCCAGATGGCAGGATCAGAAAAGGTCCATGAGCACCTACAAGCCTCGAACACAGAGCCGAAGGCACTGATTGCAAAGTTGGGAGTACCCAAAACAAACGCAATTCTCCTACAAAAGGAGAAGTTAATAGAGTTCAGAGGGCCTGGGAGAGAAATGCTCATCACACTATGCCCAAGGAGCATGAAAATGTGCAAGGTAAGCCTAAGGTTAGCCTCAAATCTAAACTCAGGAGACTCAGTTGTAAGGCTAAACCCAATTCTAACTCAAGAGGGCAGACAGGCCAGCCATGTACAAGTGAACCTGGAGGCCAACCCTATGAAAGGGAAGGCCAAATGCCTGAAAAAGGAAGTTCTCGTCACAAACCACGTTTTTAATGAATTTTATTATCTGGAATGCTAGGGGGCAACAATAGTAAGTTTAGGAGGCACTATGCTGAGATGATCAAAATGCACAAGCCAGCTATGCTAGTCCTCCTACTAATATGACTGAACATAAAAACCTGATCCAGGAGCTGGGTTTCTCTAGGCAAATCCAAAGCCAACTATTGGCATGCCTGCGGGCATTGTCAACATGTGGAAAGATGATCTACTCAAAATTAATGAAGTTTCCACCACATCCCAGGGCATTAATGTCATGGTCAATATAATCCCATCCTCCAATTCCTGGCTTTTCACTGATGTTTATGCTAGTAACACTTATGCTCTTAGAAGGAATCTCTGGCGGTAGCTCAGAACTATGCATGATAACTATCAGGGGAGTTGGCTAGTAGGGGAACTTCAATGTCCTGAGAGCTAGAGACAAATATGTGGGGAACTGCATCTCTGCTCCAAGGGCTAATCTTTTCTAGCAATGCATCAATTAGTATAAGTTGATTAACCTTGGCTTTAAAGGTAGAAAATTCACCTGTACTAACATGAGATATAGGAATAAGAGTTAGTTAATCTTAAAAAGTCTAGACAGGTATTTTGCTAATGAGGAATGGATTTAAGAATCCCCCTCAAGTACAATTTGTCACCTTCCTAGAACCCACTCTGATCACTGCCCTATGCTTATTAAGTTTTGGTGTAGGCCTAGCAACCCCACTAAGCCCTTTAGATTTAACCCCATGTGGTGCAGTCACCCCTCTCTCACTAATGTGATACATCAAGTCTATGAGGGAAACTGTAGCCTCCTAGAGGGAACTACCAAATTCCAACACCAAGTTACCTCTTGGAACATGAAAGTATTTGGTAACATCTTTCACAAGAAAATGCATCTGCTCTCTAGGCTAGGAGGTATCCAGAGATCCAATGCCTACCCCTTCAGCTTTTGCCTCCGACAATTAAAAGGTCATCTCCAGGAAGACTATTCAGTCATTCTGAGAAGTGAAGAGGAATTCTGGAAAACTAAGTCTAGGATTAACTGGCTTATGGAGGGGGATGCCAACACTAAATTCTTCCATACCTCCACTCTCAACAAGAGACGAAGGAATAGGATTCTTGGCCTCCAAAATGAGGCAGGGGAATGGGTAGATGACCATAAAGGAATTGAAGACACATTTTTCAATTCTACTCATCTATGTTCACCACTGATCACCAATCCTCCACCAAGGGTAAAGATACTACCACTCACGTCTCTCACACCCTTTCCCATAGAGATCAGAACATACCTAGTGCCCCTCCGAGGAATGGTGAGATAAAGACTGCTTTATTCTCATTCAAACCCTACAAAGCCCCTGGGCCTGGTGTCCTACACCCAATATTCTACCAAAAGTACTGGAATGTTCTTGAGGGAAAAGTAACCAACTTTTGTAAGCAGGTATTCCACAAACTTGAAATGAACCATGCGGTCAACACCAATCATATGTGCCTGATCCCTAAATGTGCCAATGCAATTGTGCTGAAAAAATTTAGACTCATTGACCTTTGCAATACAATGTATAAATTGATTACTAAAATCATTGTTAACAAAATAAAACCTATGCCGCCCTCTATTATAGGACCTAACAAAGCCATTTTCCTATCAAACAGGAGGGCCTGTGACAATGCCATTACTGTGCAATAATACATTAGTCACTTTAAGAAAATGAAAGGTATGAATGCCAACATGATCCTAAAGATTGACCTGGAAAAGGCCTTTGATAGGTTAGAATGACCCTTCATCAAAGATACATAGCTTTCTTTTGGTTTCCCTAGCAGCACCACTAAGCTGATTATGTCCTGTACCTCCGCCTATTCTATCTCAGTACTTGTCAATGAGAGTAGGACTGAATATTTCAAACATAGTAGGGGCATCACACATGGGGATCCTATATCTCCCTACATCTTCATAATCTGTATGGAGAGACTCTCTAGAAGCATTGATGCAAAAGTGCAAAATGGGAAATGGTTTCCCATAAAAGTCAGCCAAATAGGGCCAAAAATCTCCCACCTCTTCTTTGCAGATGACCTTACCCTACTTGCTAGAGCAAACACCAAGAATTGTAATACCATCATAAAAAATCTCCAAGAGTTTAGCTGTGGCCAAAAGGTTAATAACTTTAAATCCAAGGTTATTTTCTCCACGAATTATAACCAAGAGGAAGTAGATAGACTAGCCAGTATTTTGACAATTAAGCCCACCCTATCTTTTGGCAAGTACCTGAGTTTTCCCATCTTCCACAAAAGACCCGCCAATAGAGACTATCACTTTATAATTGATAGCATGCAGAATAAGTTGGCAGGCTGAAAAACCTAGTTCCTGAATATGGCTGGGAGAACCATACAGCTAAATACTCCCTTGGGTGCATCCCTAGCTATGTTATGCAATGCATAAAGCTCCAACCCAGGTATGCAACCAAATTGACAGAATTCAGAGGAATTTTATATAGGGTACCACTGTAGCTAAAAGGAAAATGCACCTAGTTGTGTGGAAACTATGACAAAACCTAAGGAAGAAGGGGGTTGGGTATGCAGACAACTGAAGACAGAAACACCGCCACCCACACTGGCCTGGCCTGGAGAATGTACAACAATATAAATGCCATGTGGGCCAGGATGCTATTCCACAAGCACTTTACTAGCAAAAACCCTTCAAGGCATATTCACTTAGGACTTGGCAAAATATAAAAAATGGCTGGCAAGTCTGTAGTAAGTCCACTAGGTAGGTAGTACATAAGGGGAATAGAATCAATTTTTACGGTGACAGATGGATCCCTGGCATAGAGTCCCTTAAAAGCCTTATCAGTGGCTCCCTCAACCAGGGGGAAGAGAGTTTGAAAGTAGACACTTTCTACAATGAGGGTCACTAGAACATCACTAATATCTCCCTTGACCTTCCCAAGGATGTTGTGTCTACTATAAAGTCTATCCTTGTTAACCCCAACTCTGCCAATCTGGATAAAATGGTTTGGAACCTGACTGATATTGGCCTCTTCTCAACCAAAACAACCTGTACCCTTATTGGAAGGCTAAACCATTATCAGGCCCACAATCCTGGTAAAGATTTCAACTGGGCATGGGGCCAAAAGCTACCCAATAAGATTAAATATTTCCTTTGATTAGTAACTCATGCCATGCTACCTACAACTCACGGGGTATGAACCTAAACCCCATGTGCTTCTTATGTGACAAGGAGGAAGAAACCATAGAATACATGCTCTTCAAGTGTGAAAATGCTACCCAATGCTGGTAGAAGCTAGCTAAGCAAAGCCTTTCCAACCTTAGTATCCCAAACGTTGTCACCAGCCAAGCTAACTGGGTGTACGCCTTTAACAAGGCTAAACACAAACCTTTCAATGGCTTTCTTAAGTGGGGCCACCTAATCCCTTTCTACCTTTGGCAAATTTGGTTAACTAGGAACATCGATAGCTTCAATCATAGCAAGGATCATGTTCCTTTCAAAGTGGCCATTAATAAGGCTGCAGAATTCGTGTACATAGCAATAGGAGGAAAAGACCCCAGATATAGTACTGTTATCTCTGTTAAATAACACCCCCCAGATAGGGGTTGTTACAAGCTAAACACTAATGATGCTTACATCAAAAATATAAAAAAGGAAGAATAGGAGGAGTAATTAGAAATAGCAATGGGGATTGAGTAACAGGGTACATGGGGAAAGTCAAATATACAAATACCCTCAATTATGAGCTGGCAGCTTTTTTGCAGGGCCTGAAAATGGCATTATCAAATAATCTAATGCCCTTGGAGGCAACTACGGACTTGACAGAAGTAATACAATGCATAAACAAAAGTCATCTAATATATGATTCCTTGATTTGTGAATGCAGGTCTCTCCTAGAAACGCTGGGCCATCCACCAGTAAACCACATATTTAGAGATGCAAATAAAGTGACAGACAAGTTGACAACAAAAACAGGGAAGCAGCTGGGTGAAGGAATCAACTTTTTGGTAGTTCCTACGATGTTTGTCAATGAATCACTATGGACAGACACCCTAGGAACTAATTTTGAAAGAAGTAGTAACAATTGTAATATTGTAAGAGCCCGTTTGAATGAGCTTGTTTTAAGTGACTTTTAAGCCAAAAGCCATAAGTTAGGAATTTTAACTTTTGGCTTATTTTGTCATTTTAGCTTAAAAATAAATGCTTAAAAATACTTTTTTACTTTATTCAAATACTACAAAATTGCTTAAAAGCTATTTTGGCTTAAAAACACTTAAAATAAGCCAATCCGAACGGGCTCTAAATATAACTTTGGACTACTCACTTTTTGGTACAATGGACCTAACTCCTCAACAGCCCAATGTAAGAATAATTTTAAACTAATATTATAATATAAGATCCTCTTGACCAAGAAAAAAAACAAGTACACTTTGTTAAATACACGACAAGGATCAAAAGTAACTTTTGACAAGCTTAAAAGACTAAAATAGCTCAAGAGTATATTTCAGTGACTAATTTAGACCTACTTCAAACATGAGAGACCTTTTTGTCATTTTATCCAACCTATTACACGGAGTACTACTTGCAGTGTCGCGCAGACATTAGAGCTTTCTTAAAACCCTTCCCGCTCTTAAACCTGCAGGGCTTTAGCTTTTCTCGTTTCTGTCCCGTCAAATCTTTTGGGTATTCTGAAGATGGAGATTGACGAGGGCCCATCTCCCAGCTATTTTGACCCTGAAAATCTCAGTACAAGAGAGCGTTTTCGTCGATACGGGTATCTCTTTCTGCAAATTTCAATTTTGCCATTTCGAACTTTTACCAATAAGTTTGTCTTTTTCTTTTCTTTTGCGTCTATATAGATTGTAATTGATACAAACTAGTTGAAATTAAAGTTTAGTTTTTTTTGTTACACTTGCACTAGCTTCCATCTTTGCTTAGGTTACAGAGGCTCACCCCTCACAAGTGTGAGATTTAGAAAACCTTTAGGGTTTGAAAACCCTTATATATTTTTAGTATTGGAATAAAATGAGTTCCAATTGAGCGGACCGGATACAAATGAAGTGGGAGGAGAACCATGAGGTATCAGGTTCAAATTTTAGCATGACAAGAAACACTAGATGATTTCTTCCCATATAGCAAAGTTTTGTGGATAGAGTTACCCAATACCTATGTTGGTCGGAGGCAGCAGATACCCGGGGGATAGTCGAGGCACATGCAAGTTGACTCGGACACTACCGTCATAAAAAAATGTAGATGATTGGTTTAATTGTCCTTAACTAGTTTGGGATTGAGGTATAGTTGATTGATTGATGACTGTCAATTGATGTATACTTAGCTTCTGCAACAGCTATTAGTGCATTATACTAAAGGGCAACACAATGCCCTAAGCTTCCGCTATGCGCGGGGTCCAGGGAAGGACCGAGCCACAAAAGTCTATTAGTGCATTGTACTGAAGTAGGAAATTTTGAACCTCTGGGGACCTGGGTGTTTTTCCTATTATGGGGTTCAAGTCATTCTAGTAGTTCTGATATTCAACTCATAATTACCACATTACTTCAGTTTTAAGAACCTTTACATAGGTAGCAATTTAACACCCTTGGTTGTGCTTACCAGGTATGGAATTGGATTTGACCAAAAAAGAAAAAGAAGAGATGTTCAGCTCGTAATATCTTTTGTGGGAAAGCTCACAGTTAATTTTAGGAAAAGAGAGTGGGCATGGTAGAGAGACACAGTTGTTGGTCGAGCCAGATTTAAAATCTTTACTTGGTCGATGTGAAGTACCACTACATTCACTATTCCTGTGTGGCAATGAGTGCAGAATTAGTAGAAATATATATTTTTTAAATTTTAATTATATGTGCTCCCCTTGTCTCTACCTTCACAAGGTAGGAGTAAGGTCGGCGTACACACTATGCTCCACAAACCCCACTTGGTGGGATTATACGGAGTTTGTTGTTGTTGTTGTTGTGCTCCCCTTGACCACTACTGCAGGACAATGAGTACAGACTTGGGAGAATTATCATCATGTATGTACATATTCATATATATTATATTTTTGATGAAGTGAGTTGTTTCTTTACTGGCATCAAATAGATGCAAAGTATACAAAAGAGGTATTGTTAGCTCCATGTATGTTATATATCATGTATACAAACACAGTCCTATTACTGAAGCCTAGGTTTGGCACTTATTCTTGGTTCTGTATTTATTCACCTTACCAAATTCTTGCTGTAGCATTCAAGTTTTCTGTCTCTCCATAACTTAGAAGCAATGGCCAGAGATCAAATTGAATATCGTGTTGCACCCGTTTAGTCCTTTGGGTCAATTTCCCTCAGTACACCTTTAACAGAAGAGACAGTGGACACATAAGTGAAACAAATCCGTGGCAAGAGACATTTGGATGTACCAATTGAGCATGCCAGTAAGGGACAGCAAATTGGCAGACGGTGTTCACCTGTTAATATTGCGAACATGCAAAAAACTCAGAACAGCCTGACTATTGTCTTCAAAATTCTTTGGAGATAGTTGTAACCCCCCCCCCCC